ACTTTAAATAAAGTTTTAATTTTCTATCTTCTTTTATAAGTGACTAGAATGATATTTTACAACTAACTTTTCATTTCTCTATAATAAATCCATTCATGATCAATAAGTTGATTAACTAATTCTTCAAGTTGACTAAATTGGGAACAATAATCATTTATAAAAAGGTCCGAATGCTGACTGGTGGCAACGTCAGGTTCAAGCAGAGAAATACAAGGAGCTTCTAGAATCGTTTCTTGTTCAACTTTGTAGATGCAGGAGCAATGAACTGGACATCATATAAAGCTTACTGAAACAACGTCTCTAGCATGATGGTCACAGTAAACCTCAATTCAAAGACCCGAAGTGGATGATACGAAATTGAAGTTCGGATCTTCCACTAGCATAATGAAATTTCTTGTACTAACATGAATTTGATCAAAAGCGACCATTCCACTCCAATTACAATAATGAATAGAGTGAATCGGATAATCAATGTCCACACTACTGTGAGGGAGAATGAACTTGAGAGCCTCTTGTAAGTTGGCTTAGAAATTAGAGATAACCTGATATTCAGTTTACGAAAACCTAATTTGTGCATCAACTCAAAACAAATGTAAACCAAGGAACATAAAATTTGATTTGATTTGTAATGTGATTGCAAATTAAATTTCACAAGTTAAAACTAACGAACTAAAAATTATAAGTGTTAACCAATCATTTACTTACACGTTTCAGGCAGGCCGTTGGTCAAGTCACTTGGGCAAACGCCAAACTAGCTCTAGATTTTATTTCACGATTTACATTCATGTTCGGTGCTTTCACAAATATATCGAGCAAGTGTTAATTGGTGTACATCAAGAGTGTGTACCATGTGTAGACTGGAAATCATCGCGAGAGTTTTCTGTGCAAAAAATCCTTATTTTCAGATTGTATTGTCTCTAAGGGAACCATCAGAAATCAGACATGTATCCAAATATTTCGGCACCCTAAGGTTTGCATCTTTTAGCTTAGAAGTTTTCAACAACTTTCGATTTTTCACTTTGTGAGATTTACCTCTCTTATTCATGACAGTGGCATTGTGGTCCTATCTTTTTACCCAGAACAAATTTTTTTATTGTCCTGATCAGAGGAATTCCAATCTTCTTAGATAGATGAACACATCATAGCATTCCAGCGGCTACAAATTCAAATTCCAGAGATGTGAAGATTTTGAACCAGAACTCAAAACATGTTTTGATACGATCTTCCGAAATTAATTCTCCCGGAAAAGCAGCTGAATTTTTTATTGGAGTGGAGTTATGTACAAGATTAGTCATAGTGGACCCCGTCTTAGTAGAACCGGAATCTCCATCGTCTTCCCCATGAAGCATACTACTTAGTCTGCTTTCCAAAGGTTTCACCTCAATGTATGGGGGAAGAGATCGGTGTAGTAATAAGCCGGTATTACTGCATGGTTACTCAAAGGAACGAGGGCATGTATTTGAGATGTCACAAACATGTTTGCATCCTAAACCACAGCTCCTGTTCGACGCTTAGATTGGTGTCGGCGCAACTTGTGCAGCTTGTATAGCGTATACTTCATCTGAGAATGAAGTCGGCACAGCTGGTGCAGACAATTATCTGGTGGTGGCTCTCTCCACTTTGTTCTCTTGCTTATCCTATTTTCTTCATTTTACAACGTAAAACAGTTGGAGGGGGATTATTCTTCAACGACATTAGAGGATTCTTCTTCAACTACATCAGAAGTAGTAGGAGACGGAAACTCAGATACCGTCAAACCTCCCACCAATCACGACGAAAAAACTAGCATTATTCTTCCATCTGCAACATAAACAAGGAATTAACAATCTCAATGTAGAGCATTACATAGATTCTTCGAAAGAAAATGAAATTGAGAACCATGTACAGCACTACAAGGATGATACTAGAAGTTACATTTTGTAGCTTCATCAATAGTTTCGGAAGAGAAAGAAAATTAGAGCCATGTACAGGTACGGGAATGAACTGAGAAAATGTAGATTCTCTAGCTTCTCCAAAAGATTCTGTAGAGTAACAAATTCACAACAATGCACGGCAGTACGTGGATGTACTGAGAAGGAACGTAGATTTTCTACTGGCAGATGAAATTGAGAACGATTTCCACTTAGATGATGCAGGTGATGCTACACAGTTTTAGAATGAAGACTTACCAGGCGTGGCTGGTGCTACACTTTTGAAAGCAGAAATAAGACTAGATAAACTTTCCATTTCGTCTTGTATGGGAAGAAGTTTTGACAAGAGACTCGAATTACATCCTCGATAAATCGATCCGGTAGTAGAACGGGGAGACAGAAGACTCCCTATCGAGAAATCTAACATATCTAACCTTCAGACAAGGTTAGATCAATGGTTGAGACACTCCTCTCGTAAGGAAGTACACAACCAGTTCAAGTCAATCTATAAGTAATGTTTAAGAGTGTAGTGTTTTGCATCTGGAATAACATCACTTGTTCTTTCCTTGCAATGAAGGAAAGAAACATATAAGAAAGAAGCGGCAAAGACCAACCAAGTCCAAAAGCAGCCTGGGCCCATGAAAGAAAGTAAAAAGCGCTCAAAGAAAGAAGTCTGACGAACATGAACTCTAATCTCCCACGGACGGATAGGACAAATCATGACCATGTATAAGCATCCGTTATCATATCAAGCTTGATGTCAATGGCCGAATCTTATGCAGCCTGTAAAATGATACCAACATGAGCTTTAAAATATTCTTTCCAAATGACAATGTGCACCAAGTCAGCCATCATCAAATAGACGAGCATAGTCATAAAAAAATAAATATTCTCACGTAGAGGCGCTCTGTCTCTTAATGCTTGCCAGTCATTTTAATGTCATTCAGATTCCATCATCTAAATTCATTCAGAAGAAGAAACGATTAACGTTGTGCATGACTCACGGAAAGTGACACTGCGCAAAGGGTAGAAGCCAAAACTCCCTACTGCGTTAATGCCAGCGGGTGCTTCGAGTTGAACACTTCAAGGCATCACTACCGTTTCAGGGAAGCTATGTATATTAGGCTAGAACAAGATTCATGTGGCGCAGTCGCCAAGGGATCTGGACCAGTGTACTCTCCGCATACATCCACGCAAAGTCAAAGTCTTGACTTGGAGTCTGAATCCAGGCTTGATAGAGGGTTGTGTGTGTGTGTCATGGATGTGGCTTCACATTTTCCAAACGGAACGTTAACCGGAGGTGGCTCATGATGAAAGTTACACTCTAGTATCGTCTTGTGTACCAGTGTATTCAATCAAGACCACCATCATCCGGAAAAGGATTAAAGCCGTCTGTGGTTCCTTGCTATATTCCCTCCAGCGAGCGTACAAACTTTTGATCCTTGCCATTTTGTATAATTTACAAAGTATACTTGCAAAGTTTCTAGTGAATTTCATTCATGTTTTCATTATAACAGTGCAGAAGATACGCCTTAATTTAAAATGCATTAGAGAATGTGAAATTAAAGTGCTGGGGAAATTTTATGAAAACGTATCAAATTAATTTTCTTGAAGATGAATGCCTAATTGCGATTTTATCACATATCGAAAATTGAGAACCGAATCCAGTAGTGGGACAAAGAGAACAATCAAAAGGTTGGCTTACATCCCAAACTTCATCTCATCGATTGAATCTAAAAAGTACCACAACATGGTTGGACGCAGCGATAAAGAACAGCTGAGTCTGATGATTGATGAGACGGACGGCTTCAGCAGGGCCCGCGAATCAAGTCAGTTCTCTGAAAGGCCTTTGGTCGGAGACGGCCCAATTTCGATTCATGTTTGAGGCCAGGTCCGCGTCCCCAAATCCCGAGTTCGCAAACAAATTGAAAGGGCCCTGTACCCGAGTCGCTCGCTCGGACGGGCCAGGTCCGTGACTTCGCTCCGTCGAGTTGGATTCTCGAGGAATTCGAGAGCTGTGAATGTGAAGGACGTACAGTCCACGCATGGGCACACCACAATTACGTGCTTGATTGAAGCCCATGAGACGGTGCTCTTCGTTCCACGGGTGGTGGCTGAGCCTGCACTCCAATCGCCCCTAGCGCCGGTGCTGTCCTCCGCCCGACGACTCTGCCTTCGCCTCTCTCGGCCGCACCGGCAGAGCCCGCCGTTTCTCCGCCTGAAGCTTCGAGCGACCGGCTCGGAACGGTTTCTGGTACCGGACATGAGTTGGACAATTTTCAAGCCAGGTCCGTTCCCGAACCTCCGTCGACCTGCGCTGCTGTACTGTGATGTCTGACGGTGACCCGTACGTGGCGGGCGAAACGAGTGTGACTGGCCCGCCCGCCCACTCACTCACCACGTCACCGGTGAAGGGGAATCGAGGAGCGGGAGGAAGGACCGGCTGCGTCCGATTGGGAGGAATGGGCGTCGTGGGATGGCTATCGGCGGTGGATATTGATTCTGGCGCCGTGCCACGTGAGCGGAAACACGGCGATTGCAGAGCCGGGAGAAAAAGAACCCGCAGGGATGGGGGAATTCGAGACCCATAAAGCGAAAAGGACGCGAAGGGGAGGAGGAATCGGTAACGGAGCAAGGGATCGACCGGCGTCCGTCCGTCACCTTTGGCTACTCCGTGACCAGCACCCGTCGGTGGGGAGAGGGGCGAGCTCGAGGGCTGGCACCGGCGTCCCCGGTGGCGGTCGAGCGTGGACTCGCGGGAAGGCACGGCAAGGCAGAGAGATCGACCGTCTGCGAGCCCTGCGGCGCAGGTCAAGCCAGTCACGGCACCGAGCAGCTCAGCTCACTGGAGCGCGCGAGTTCCGGTTCCGTGCCGGACGTTATCCCCCAGACTGGTGGAGCGAGGCGCGCACTATTCCGGCGGCTCCCGCGCAGGGCCGAGCGCGGGGGCCGCCGGAATGGTGCGCCGTAATCCGCCAGTAGACTGCCGGAGACTGGGCCGTCCGGGCGGGAGCGCAAGCCCGAAGGAAGGCTCTGAGGAAAGCGAGCGAACCCGTGCAGTGCAGGCTGGCTCCCGCGCCCCCACCCGCTCGCTCGACTGGCGCACGTCTCTCTCTCTCTGCCCGGGGCTCTCTCTCGGTCTCCCTCCCTCCCTCCCTCCCTCGCTCTGAGTGTCTGTCTATGTGGTATCGTGTGCATTGCGCTTGCTCCATTGGCTGTTCTGTGGTCTCGACCTTCTGCGCTGATCCTGCTTCCTCCACCTTCTCCCATCATCATCGACTCAAATGGAATGAATGTCAGGAGAGAGGATGTAAAGAAGTAGATAGGAGACACGGAGGGAGGGAGGAGGGAGGGAGAGAGATAGAGAGAGAGAGAGAGAGAGGAGAGTGGGGGATCAGTGATCAGAGGGGAGTGAGGGGGAGAGCTACGGTACATAATTCAGGTGGGGCGGGAGGGAAAGGGAAAGGGAAGGGAGGTTAGGAAGGGGAAGAGAATTATGGTCTGAACGAGAGGAAAACGAAACGAGACGAGACACGGAGGGAACCAGGAAGTTGGTCCGAGGTCCGTATGAACTGGGACGAGTAATTGGTGTGCGGAGGAGGGGAAATTGTGGAGTAGGACGAGCAGGAGAAGCACGACGACGACGCGCGGTGCGAACCGTGGCAGGGAGTTTCGACGGATCTGCGAAGATAGGGGAAGGACTGGGGAATTGGGCGCAGGTTGGGGGCGGGGAGGGGAGGGGGCGGGAGGGTAGACAGAATTGAGTCCGAAGAAAGGGAGAAACGGTGGAGGTGGCACGGATTGCAGGAGGAGCGGGAGGAGCAGTACCGGAGTTCCGCGGTGTGGCCTTGGGGAATATGTCTGGTTTAACTCTGGATCTACGCCCCGGCTCTGGTTTGGGCTCGTTCATTCTGGGTGCGTGATGATGTTTATTGTTCCCCAGTCTTCCGGTTGTTTGCCAATTTGGAAAGTTGAATCAGAATTTTCGAACTCTGTCAGCTGACCTAGGCCTGATGTACCAGGAATGCCTGTCTGCGAGGCCCTAAATCAAGTGGAGCAACATCGGTCTGTCTTCGATGTAGTGCAGATCAAGTACAACGATGAGGTGTGCAACTTACGCCATCTCTCGCATCTCGTGCAAACAGGCAATTGTTTGGACGGTGGTTTTCCATTGAGCCCCGAATGCAGTGTAGGTTTCCGTGACGAGAATTGCCGTGTTAGTGGGTTCTGATGACAGTTTGAGACCATACAGCTGTTGCCCTCAGACCATAGCTGCCTAGTCTCTCGCGGCAATGCAACTGCAGCTGCCCTGAGTATCAATTCTAATGTTTTCAGAGTACTGCTGTAGTGGTGTCCTAGGTCTTCCTCATGTTCATTCACTTGTACGCTACAGGAACCTCTGCGTTATGATCTTGTTATAAGCTTTCCCGAGCATGGCTTCCACTTGCGGTTCGAACCGCGCTCTCAGGTTAGTGCCCATCGGCATTGCCATATTTGTGGCTTGTACTTTCTGAACTTGGTTTTCATCATGAGTTCTGATTTGGTTCTGCTCTGTAAACTTACAGAACCCTTACGTTCTGCACAATAACTTGTTTGCAAATAATTTTAAGAGGTTAACGCTCAGAATTTACTGTAGAGTCTCTGCAAGATTCTCAGTTAATGTCGACTGTGTGCTGCCTTAGGACCACATATTATTCAGCATGAATTCTGCAAAATTCACGATAGTGACTGCGATGGTTTGTTCACTTGTATTCCTCTGCAGAGATTGCGCCTTATTGAGGTTTTCGACGTACAGCGGTTGCAAATGCGCTATGCGACTTCATCAATTGGGTGAGCCCTCCTTCCGTGAATACTCTTAGTCATCTGTGAGATTGAACTCGTGATGAGCATGTCATGATCATAAGTACGGTTGATGCGGGAGCCGGGTGTTGCGTTAGACAATGTTCGAAACCTGCACCTTGTGGTGCTTTAATATAACTCTTGACTTTGGAGAACATGACAGGGGCCCAAGTATCGCTGCTACCTTTGTAGCTGTTTATGCTCTTTTCGGGCCAACCTTTCCTGGCGTGTATGACAAACAGCGCTCAACATATTCCCTTTTCTATCCGGTAGGTTTCGTAACCGTGATGGTTACATAATATGACTTTAAGTGGCCGAAGCAACGCCAGATTAGCGAAATCTTATATGGATATGGAGGGTCCTCCTTTGATAAAACATGTCCTTTTAGATGCTCCTCCAATAGCTCTTCAAATCTTTGTCGAGAGCCGATCTCCCTTGGTAAGAAAGCTACTGAGAAATGCTTCTTGTTCAGCAGGGTCTATCATTCTCATTCCCAATTCCTGCTCAGTATTCAGAATACTGTCAAGACCGCCAAGGTACTGCACAACCCCTTAAGGTCATAGTTTAAAGCACAAAGATCATTGTACCCTGCCTTGTTTTATCTTTTGGTCTATTTTTAATAACTCCTGTAGCTGACCTTATCGTGTTTGGTGAAGGATCAGCGGAACTACCATTGGAGTTTCCAGATGGCACTACTCCAGTAATGTCTCGCGTTTGTATCTTCGTTGGCAAACTCGGAAATGTTGGAGTTGGGGTTGGGGGCCAGCTGAAAAAGGCTGTGCTTCCTCAGTTGGCCTCAAGCAGTTCGTACATGGAAGAAGTGCATGTACAAGTGAGTAGACAATTATAAGAAGTTAAGAGCACAATTTCCTTAGAGAAAGTTACAAAGAAATTCTGAAGTTACTCAACTCATAGTTCCAGCTAAAAAATTCGACACACCTTCCTCTTCACTGCTGATTCTATTTCTTGTTCATGCCTCTTTGCCGCTTCTTTTACTACCTTGTGGGCTATCTGGGCTTGGGAAGCTCCTACTTGTAGTCTTGTTGTGGCGACAAACTTGCCTGAAGTTCTTGTTTACATGTTGAGTGGCATTGGCTGAGTTACACGTTATGCTTGCATACTGAAGCACTCGTCTGAGAGGTGCAAAGTATCCTCGGTAACCTAAGATAGTGTTTAATCTTCTGTGCAGCTAGCGAAGGGCCTGACTTTTCCTTCTGCTGAGCCGGAGAATGAACGGAAATTATTTTTCGGATCATCACCACAGGTTTTTTCTCGTCTCTTAAACTTATCGTGTATACACAGACCAATTCAATGTATGGAATGCAAGCTTGACTAAGCATTACGTACGTAATAGCTGACAGGTCATGAATCTGGTATCTTATTGTTACAGGATGCATGGCTCGTACTAGGTCGACCAGATGGCTGGCACAAAAAACAGGTATGTCACTTAAATGTCCAAAGTCGTAAATTGAAGTGCACGCCTTCAACGAATCGAAAATAAGAATGTTGGGCAGGAGTGTGATCACTTTGTGTTATAGCAACCTTCTCGTTCTGCAAGAATGCCTTGCATGATTGACATTGATCGTAAAGGTTACCGCTGTGCAGGTTGATCCGATGTTGATTCATTCTGCATCCGACCCAAGACCAAGAACAGCGCTGTGTGAAGACTATTTTTACAATTACTACAATCGTGGTCTTGATATACTGTTTGACGGTCAGGTACATATGAAGATACGTATGTGTTTTATTAGTATGTTCTGATCGACACTCTTCAAAGCTTCGATCATACAGTGGCAGAATGTCATACACTTATTATCATGTTTTCATATGAAGGCTAACAACGGAATCGTTACCGCGAAACATCTGACTTTCTCTCAGAGGCTGGTATTCGATTTAAACTTATCAGCTGATCGTCTCTTTCTCATGTATGCCAGCATCATCGGATCAAGAAGTTCATTCTACACACAAACTTTCCTGGCCACACGGACTTCAATGTTTACATAAAGTGCAATTTTTTCATTCATTGCTCAAAAGGTAAGTATCAATCTTAGTATTCCTTTTGTTTCTGAAGGGGGAGAATTGCAAAGTTTCCTGAAATGAAAATGGCCATTCAAGGGATGTTTCTAAAGTTTCTAAGTCCACTTCACGTACGTTTGTCTTAGCAGAGGGTGAGAGGACTGACGCGAGTTCCGAACCTAATGGAAATGCTATTGGTGACCCTTGCATTACTGCCACCACCAAGTGGTCAGAGGTACAGGTAAGAATTCAAAGTCTTAGGCAAGATCAGAGGTAGATCAAGTTTTACTACTTAATGCCCGAATATTTAAGTTCCTGATGATTGAAGCATGTTGCAACACATCTCTGCTTGAGTCTTGCGAGTTTGATACACATAAATAACTCTTTCTTTGTAAAGATTGAGTGAAATTGCAACACATGAGGCACTCAGAGGTTCTAGTGATTCTCTGTGCAGGAGATACTTGGAGAAGGTGGTCGTGCAGCCATCCAAACTCAGGGTTCTGTGAGCAACCCATTTGGGCCAACTTATGTTTATGGTTATAGAAATATTGCCCTTGAGGTAATGCACAGATGACATTCCCGTTTCTGTCATGCATTTACTTTCAGCTCGCAGAAGTTCGGTCTGTGTAGCTCAGTTGTAAGGTTGTCAATTACCAGGGAGAGAATTCTTACCATGTTTAACTGCCGGTGTTCAGGTTATGAAAAACGGGCACATAGCAACGGTCACTCTTTTTCAGACCAATTTTAGATAGCTGTACAATGGCTGTAAGTTGTTCTACGATGGAAGCTTTGTAAATTTGTAGATGTACATAGAGGACTAGTTCAGGTGTTTAGGTTGTGCATAACCCTGGACTAAGGTGGCGTTCGCTCAAAGCACTGTGGTATCAACACGCAAGTAAGTTGCAACTTGGTGAGTGCTCCTCTGCTTTTCTGAAGATCGCACAGTGAAGAGGAGGATGCGCTCCACAGGACAGACACAGTATTGGGCTTCTGGTCAAAAATTACTCAGCCAGAACTGTTGTTCTTGTGCAAAAATAGTGTTGTACAATATGAGAGGTTGAGTGTTAGGATTGACTTCAAATTGCAGAAAACAGCTAAGGTGAGCTCGTTCTTACTCTAATTTGACATTTATATTTCAAAGAAGACCAAGGGTACTCGATTTCTCCCTTACTTCTCTTGAGTTGTAATAAAAACCTGAGGTGTGCTGCAATGCACTTGGCTCGGTTCCACCTCGGGAAAGCATCTGTAAACATTATGTGTATTTGAAGGTCTTCTTGATATGGAGAAGTTTTTTTGTTGAATGCTATGCTTCTTTCTTTGTGCTTTGCCCTTACCTCATGATATTTGTGTGTTCTGCTTTTAGAATCGTATGCCATACCTGTGATAAGATCATATTTGATCGGCCCTCTGGAAGTTCGTTTACCCGTGATTAGCAACACTCAACCGTATGTGGGTAAGAAGTTCTGTACTGAATGACTGAAGGCCAGAGTCGCGAGCCGCTTGAGTTGAAAGCCTCATGTACGGTTTTGAATGCGGCTTTGTTTTGTGACCTGATTGGTTCCTACTCTTAATAAAAGTTCTCACATTTCGAAGGTTTTTCCAGATGGTTAGGCCGGCAAAGATGGGTGTTTGGGGTATTGGTTTGCTCCTGTTCTTCCAGAGTAGACGTTCACAAATTATGTTTTGCTTATACAAATTATGTCTTGGTTATACGAGTAAGAACAAGGGTTCTTACTTTATGGGTTCCCTTGTTCCCTGGTGATGTAAGGATTTCCTCAGACGACTACTTTGGAAAATTTGGTCGATTGTTGCAAATTGAATGTGAAGTAGACTGTTTTGGCTTGTACCGCGAAGAATGTACATGAAATATATTATGACTTGAACTGTCCGGGAGCCCCACCTTCCTACATGGAGTTAAGAAAGGCCGCCAGTCGTTCCGAATTTCTGTTCTGTACGTTTTAGACATTGGTCTGGACTCTCTACCGCCGTGCCCAAAAAAAAGAGAGAATCCGCAACTTGTGCATGAGTTCCACGATTGTCCGCATGTTGATTCGAGTCAATGTTCTCACTGAATACTATCCCTACACTTGAATGCCTAACTTAAAAGGTAATTGCAAATTCCATCCAAGTTGTTCTTTACTAAGACGGTGGCTTTGAACTGGAGATTATGCCACTTGGGATAAGGATAACAGTTTTTCTGTCCTGGATCTTTTCTCACCATCATGTCCTTTGAGTCTTGTCAAACTACGAATGTATAAGCAATTATTAAAAGTTCAGTTGCATTCAAGAAACTGTACATTGACTGTCATAAAAAGAGTATATAATCTTAAAAGAAAATAGCTACCAAACAACAATTGTATTAATTATTACTAGTAGATCATTCTCACAAATTGTGAAATATTATAAAAGATGTGATATTTGTTACTTCTGTTATAGAAAATTAATAAACTGGATACATATTAATGATCAAGTATCTTTGAAAAATTATACAAAGCCTTCATAAGAAACTTGAAACTTGATTCCCAAGGATACAAGACAACTATTGATTATTTTAAAAGTAGATTTGAAAACTGATTTTGAAAATAAATTGAATACCTTTCTCTATTCTATTTATTTTCAAGTGATTCCTTTTTCAATATCATAACTATTCCTAGATTTGTATTAATTCTTTAGAATTTATCATGCAGATTTGATGAAGTAAATGGTAAATAGATCAAGCCCGTGGGACCCAAAGGGTCAAAAGGCTAAAAAACACAATACAAACAACCCAACTCCAAACTAGGAGAGAACCAAAAGAACCCCCTAGCTAGTGCCCAAAGCACTAGAACGGTAACTAATAATATCTCTAATGTAACAACCTAAATCATAAGGCTCAAGTTGAAGCAGAGAAAAGAAATTCTCGACATCAACTTTATGCGCCACTCGAATCTCTACATACCTAGAACAAGTAAGAAATACATGCTCTTCATCCTCAACTTTTCTTCCATCACATAGCCTACAAATACGTTCACTCCTATCAATGTTCAACCAACGTACTTCTTCAATCCCAAGACTATGAGATCCAGTTCTATGTCTAGCAATAATATGACGTAAAGAAGTAGATATCTCTGCAAGTAAGTATCCTTGCTCACAATAAACAAGCATAGGATTCACATGAAATTGGTGGAAACATTGCATCATTGAAGATTATGTGTATTGCATGTGAACCTTGAGAGATGCATCTTCATACAATTTGACTTGTAATTTTTCACATATCATTTTTTTTATCAAAATGATACTAAATAAATGGTAATAAACCAAGCCCGGGATCCAAAGTATCAAAAGTCTGAAAAACACAATACAAAAAAAATCACAAACAAGTGAAATGACCCCAAAGTCCAATCTCTAACTAGTTACAAGAGCACTAGAACGATAATTAATAATGTCTCTAATATAACAACCTAAATTAACTATAATAAAGAATAGAAATTCTTCACACCTATATTATAAACAAGCTTAATATCTTGGTACCTAGAGCAAGTAGCAAATACATGCTCTTCGTACTCAATCTATCCATCGTCACATAATCTACAAATACATCCACTCCAATCAATATTAAGCTAATGTACTTACTCATTCCGAACCTATGAGATACAATTCTATGCCTAGCAATAATATGACATAAGTACGTAGAGATTACTCCAAGTAAGTAATAATGTTCACAATAAACAAGCATAGGATTCACATGAAGTTGATAAAACTGCATCTTGATGCAATTTATTAAACATTATAAATAAACATATAACATTATAAACATAAACATTTTCTAAACATTATTTGGAGCAAGCACGACATCTTGATGCCGCGCTTGCTCCAAATAATGTTCAGAAACTCTTACTTTAGACATTCACGTAGTGTTGTAGGTTGCAGGTCTCAATCGCGTTCCGCTACATTCCACCTCAAAGATCAAGTTATCATATCCACGAAACATCCTTTGGAAGTGTGGCATTCAAAGCTTGCTTGAAGTTTCTAGCCCAAAGTTGAGATCCCTGCAAGATTCGACCTTCCCCTCTCAAAGATATCTCAACTTTGTACTTGGAATTGTGTTGAAGACTCACAAGGATATAGTGAAACTAATTTGAAAGATTTTTTCAGTTCACATTGTAAAATAATAGTAATATCGCACTTATGAATACAAAATTATCTATTTCAGAGTATGGAAATAAAGTATGATACATTCGGACAACAGAAACTCTTACTTTATTTGACAAAGATTAATTGATATTGGGATGTTATCATCCCATATATTGCAATTGACCTTCATGTTTTACAAAACTACAAACTTTTTTTGTTAAATCATATCATATTGACAACATTTTTAGTGTTGATGATGATATTCGGACAATAGATGGTGCTCAAATGATGAGATTAGCAACAAGGTCAACCAAGAAGACTACCTTGATATCAAAAAATACAATGATTTTAAGAATAAGAGAAATATCTTATATTTGGTTGGACTAACAATATATGTGTCAACCTGAAAAAGTGTCTATTTCTATTGCATAATATCCTATATATTTAACTAATGTGCAATTGCTTGATTTTCATTTACATGTGGCCTTTGTGTAGAAAAGTGAATTTCATTTTAAATCATATCTTGTGTTTTCTTGAATTATCAAAAAATATATCTCAATGTGGACAAGTGTTTGTGGATTCTATTTCATCGTCTATATCTAGAGTTAAAGCATACTTGCAACATCTACAAATATCTGATTTCAGTACCTAATCTCAAACAATTGTTCCAAACGGTAACCCTTCCAACAAAAGAATTTTTTATAATGAAATCTTAACTACCTAAAATAAGTTATAAAACTATGATAACAAAAGATTACCAATTTCCTACATATTGTTTCAAGAAATTATCACACATGACAAATTTTCATAAAAGCCAGGACAAAACACTATATGATTTATTTCACAAATCTGGGCGGTGCAAGTCTATGAGCAAGATGAGCATCCATTCCATTTCTTTACTCTTTGCGTCTAGATTGATTATCATGTATGATAAATCTAGTATGATATTTTGTGTAAAAGTACATATTAAAAGCCCTACTTTGTTAGAAGAACATAAACTGCAACCTCCGAACACCCTCTAAAATGTAGAAAGAAGTGGATTTATGAAAAAATGGCACACATCTGTTCGTACAAGCTTCAAACACAGTACAAAAAATTAGATTATGCAAGGCAAACAGCAAGAATATGATCCAAATCCATTTTTTACTTTCTCCAATTAGATTATCTACATACAATACAAAAGGCCTATTATACTATCACTTAATGATTTATAAAGTACTCTTTCTTACCAAAAATTACTTGTGCTGTAAACTCTTAACATACTAATTCAAGAAGGAAATTATAACTTAATGGCAACTGCATTTAAAATGTTTGAGACATGTTTTCAAATTTTCATAATGCATTTGGAAGGATGCAGCTTGAATGCTTTTCCACTAATAGGTAATTATACGATAGCATGAGATATATTTATATAAACGTTGTTATCTCTTGTGTTAGTCCGCTTGAACTGCAACTGATACCACTTACTCCCCCGCCTAAAATGACCGGAAGTGAGTCAGAGTAACTTCATAGTACATTTAGCAAGCAGTCAGTCTTGAAATCTTCTTCTATTTAGCGGGTTAGGATTTTTACCTTCTATTGGTGCATCTCTCAAGGTGCTACTTCCAGCACTGGTTCGAGAAATTTCCTCCAAGTCCACTTTCGGCTAATGTATGGTCGATAGGAGTGCGCATGAGCTGTCTCATAAGCTTGGGCTTATCAGAAGCTGATGCTTGGGGCCATTCAGGGGATGCCTATGTCGTAATATAGACCGGGATTCATGAAACAACTAATGAAATCCTTCCTCATGAATGAGGGTGTGATCTCAGAACTGCAGACTGTCATCACGATACTCGGTTGAGTGCACTCACCGTCAATCAGGAAGTGCAGCAATATACGGAATAGAATTGAGTAAATGTGAATTAGCAGAGAACGAAAGTTGTGTACATGGCATTAAGAACTACTTGAAGCTGTACATGTAATAATTATGGAACTGCTTAGGAAATCCATGGTGCTCGAACCAGTTTCTTCAAAAGTCTTAGACTTTTGTCAGGCATGTGCTTCCAGCTACAAGCTTGACGTTGACGCATTTGTGGGATTGAAAACTGTAGGTTATATTCAAATGCGCAAAATATATGCTCTGATAGCTCTGATCATATGTCGTTCAATTTCTCTGTAATTCATCTTTCAAGGAAATTTGGGACCGGAGAAGTGGCTACAGATATGGATCTGTATTGATCGTCACCGTGTGAAATTACTTAACACTGCTTCTTCTCCAACTAACTGGTCCTGGTTAGATCATACATCAGGGACTGCAGCTTACTCATCTCAATCATGAAATTCGATTTCACGCTAGTATATCATCTAATTCATGCATCTGAGGTCACAGTCTTCAGATCTGTTGTAGGGCAAGATTGGCAGCTGGAAGTCCACCACATGGCTTCCGTTGAAGCCTACTCGCATACCATGAACCGGCGGCGCATTTAAGCGCAACGCAAGCTACAAAGACAACGATGCGCACTACAAGAACAACAACCACCAGACGTCAATGACAAGTACGAGGAACATGATCACGACCACCGCAGACAAAGATGGCCTTTGCTGAGTAGAGCATCACGTGATTGTAGTGGGTAATTTCTTACGGTTCACCGTTTGTCCAATTCCGTTTGCCATCACAACACGTTAAGTAACAAATGAAGGTCCGAAATAATAATCTAGTAATCTTTTATGCATCCCAAGTTAAGAGAGGACCGCAGGCAGAGAAAGACGGCAATCCCTCCAAGCAATCAGGTCTGAATTTCCGGTGTAAACTCAGCGAAACTTCGTGTTACACCATCTTTCTTCCGGAATCAATCTCCAAGTAACGGGGCGAGGGAGTCGCAGGACGGTCGGTCGAAGCTCCGTGTCACCAGAAGATGTGTTGCTAATGCTTGCTTCGAAAGTTCTTGGAGTGTTAGCCTTCGACGGGAGCCCACGCCGCGCAGCTTGGAGACTTTCCAGTTGGTTTTTTGCATACACAGCCGCCGACTACGTGGCTCATTTGAGCCACGTAGCGCATGATGAGTTAGAACTCCAGTGTCGTTGGACCCAATTAGTTCTCTTCCCTCTTCAGATTATTTCTCTTCGGTTATATTCTAAAATCTGTAACATCCTAGAAAACATGTCGGTGCGACTACCAGATGTGAAGATGCTCACTAATGCTCGCTTGATGACTCTAACGCGGCTCGGAAACAAAGTTGGGACTGCAAATGGCACCTAAATTTGGGGCATTAGATCGCATTTTGATTTCACATTTAAGGGTTACAATGGTCACATACCTCAGATTCTCAGATTGTCGACCCGCACGAGAGGTATCGCCAGTTCACCCGATGTCCCACTCTGCGGAGGGAGCTCTTCGAGCTCGCTTTGTGCAGCATGCAAATTTCGACGACGGAAGTGCATGGCCGAGTGCATATTCGCACCGTACATTCCTGCAGATCAGCCTTTGAGGTTTGTGTATGTGCATAAAATGTACGGGGCCAGCACTGTCACCAAGATTTTGCACGACATGCAAGAATCGAGCCGAGCAGATGCGGCGGCTTCGTTGGTATTCGCGGTCGAGGCAAGAGTGAAAGATTCGACTTACGGATGTTGTGGCGCCGTCGTTTGGCGGATGAATCAAAGAATTGAGGAGTTGCGAAAACAAATTGCGGATCTGGATAAACAAGTATACTGGTTGGAGCTAAAAATGCGCGAGACACTGACTCAGTGGCCAGTGGTCCCCCAGTCCCTCATCTGTAGTTAATAGTCTTCGTTAGTAATGTAGTTGCATGGATGGTTACTGTACAGCATGGCAAGGATTTCGTTTCCTTGACATGTTTTGTGTGTAATTAGTCAATCTGTAGTCAATAGCACGTTGCAGACTACAGTGGATCTCAGAAATATAGTCTGTAGCCCTGTTATTAAATGCCCTTGCATCGCAGTCAACCGCGAGGCCTCTCGCCACTTTCGTGGCATATAATTCCAAAGTACAAAGTTAAATCTCCACATAGTGTTATTTCTTGTGAGTGACATATTACCATTAGTGATATAAAAATGAATAACCATTAGTTTCCAACGGGTAATTCTATTCTATTCTATTCTATAATTCTAACAATACGTCATTATTGTTAATAATGTCAATAGATTTTTCAAGAATGACTATGTTGACATTTAATAGCCATCATAATTACCAAAAGTTTTTGTTAAAAGTTTATTGAGTGGTCTATCTCGATTCTTTTCAGTGGTTACAATATTCTCAGACTTTGAATCCGTGTCACTGATCAAATGTTTCGGGCGAAGAGGTCGAAGACATATCTCTATTCTCACTCGTTGCAATTTGGTGGTGCGATGTTTAAACCCTTGTGGGAAGAGTGCTGGAAGGAAATTGAGACAAATGGAGTGGAAAGAAGAACAGGTCTGTTCTGCCAGTGGGATATTTTCACACCTTTTCAACCTGGTCAGGATTGAGCCAAATCCATGATAGGGAAAACAAGTCGAAAGAATAGATGGCGCACATAAAGTAGAGACAAATAAACCGAGTCTCCAATGCTGGAGTTGCGCTTGTAACTACTGTAAGGAGGACGATCATGACTTGTGCTGAAGACAGAGATCGAGTATTTGTCGATGGGAAGTTTTTTTGAGTTTCTGTTGTCACATCAGACTGAAACAATCCAGTCTGAGAAGTTCTTTTGCGACCGAAGAAGGCAAGGCATTTAGTCTCAGATTATGCCAACGATGGCAGAAAAGCCGAAATCTATCATGGTTAACCGCGTCCGTGTGAATCCACGATCCATTTTCATGGCTTCGCAATATTTGTCGATGGGAATTTCTTCTGAATTTCTGTTGTCACATAACACTGAAAAATTCCAGTGGAGAAGATCTTCTGCGAACGAAGATTCTGTATATGATAATAATTCCAAACGAAAAATTGTGAAAAAAAAATTACTTTTCTATTAGACATCCATAAGTAAGTAAGTTGTTTCAGTAGAAATATCGCCAAGTGAGCATTTTCCAAATTCTGTACAACAATTTTAGCAGCAGGATGTGTGTAGTGTAACTTCCGTTTGTCAGAATGCTAGGGCCTACATCAAATATGTATATTATTACTCATGACAATCTCTTCCTAAGAGGCATTGGCTACATTGCTACATTCTGATAAAGGCTACTCACATCGTATTTCGTGACAAACAAAGTTTCTCAGGATGTGTATGATCATAGATCAGTATGAAGTGGATGGATTCTAATTTGATACTAGCTGTTATCTTTTTATTTGTGGAATAGGTCAGCTTAATCTGTGCTCATCGGGATTCAGAAAGGGAGTCCTAATATTGCTGCAGGCTTTCACCTGTCAGCCAGAACTTGTTTCCAGACTTGGACCGAAGCCAGCGGGTTTGTAAATTTCTGTCCAACTTGAATTTCGTGCAACGAAAATCGCGTATACCAACTATGACTGGTCAACATGTATTACTGATGAAGCTGATCTCAACTAACAATAATCATGATACCCTCTCTACACTCTAAACTACAATCAACTTCACAACAAGCTACTCAGATGCAGTCTTAGCGAGTAAAAACGTAAAGTACTAGGACGGTTTTGTATATCTTGTTGAAGTGTTCGAACTAATCATCAAGCTATCTGAACTCACCGGATGATCGGAATTCTCATTTCTTCCATATACCCTCCTCAACCAGTGGACCTTTCATCGACTCTACTTCAAACGCCATCTTGAGTAGAAGCTACCATGTACTACATGGCGTCTGTTGGCGGCGCAACGATCTGGTTATGAACCTGTGTGGTGCTCATGCATAATTGCACCTGAAAGAGAACTTTGAGTCCAGCTCAGTCATGCAGCTGGTACGAAATTTTGCGGGAATTTTTGAGAATGTATGGAAGAATTAGACTTCTGAAGATTATATGAGAAATCAGTATCAACTTGGCAGAAAACTCTTAGCCGTTGTTTTTACTTTCTGAAAACTGTACATCTGATTTGCTCTAGCAGACGCGAAACTTCCACGTTCTCTGCGGACCAATATCATCTTCTTTCTTCCTTCCTTTCAAATTCGACTGCTTTCACATTCAGATTCTGGTTATCATGAGCAGAAATCATACTTCAATGACAATCAGTCACTCTCTGTCTCCGGAGTTTTTGAGCATATACAACACGTATAATCACGGCATTTTAATCTTATATAGAGAAGTTGGTTCCAGGTTAGAGGCAGAAAGGCCAAAGTTCATTCCTCGAAGGTGACGCTTTAGTTTAGGCCTGCTCATTCTATGATACAAATACGAACGAAGCTCTTTACTGAAGTAAAATGAATGTTACACGAATTCAAAGTGGTCAAACGCAGAAGAAGAGAGGAGCAGGCTGAAGAATAATCGACAGGCTCCACCTGATGTAGAAATTTTGATGGTTACAAATCCGTAATGGATATATATCTGACTCCGGCATTTCGATACACGTGATTACGTAAGACAGCTTGAACTACAAAGCTTGCAGATATAAGCTGGCTAGCAACATCTACTATTCATGGAGACTGCATATTGATCAACTGAAAGCTGTCTTTTATTCCTGCATCATTTTCATACAAATTTATCTTTCAGTTGAATGAAGAGGCAATGTGGTGATCTGACTATATCAACTTTATCCTTACATGATGCGTGGTTTCCACCAAACTCACAAAACCTGTTGTAGATAATATTGTGATTGAATAGACAGATCCTACCGATTAACATATAGGTAGGATCTGATTCTATTCTCTTGTTCATGCCTCTTTGCCGCTTCTTTTACTACCTTGTGGGCTATCTGGGCCTGGGAAGCTCCGAATTGTAGACATGTTGTGGCGACAAACTTGACTGAAGTTCTTGTCTCCATGTTGAGTGGCATTGACTGAGTTACACGTTATGCTTGCATACTGAAGCACTCGTCTGAGAGGTGCATAGTATCCTCGGTAACCTGAGATAGTGTTTAATCTTCTGTGCAGCTAGCGAAGGGCCTGACTTTTCCTTCTGCTGAGCCTTCTGAGGAGAATGAACGGAAAATTATTTATCGGATCATCACCACAGGTTTTTTCTCGTCCCTTGAATTTATCGTGTATATACAGACCAATCCAATGTATGGCATGCAAGCTTGAGTAAGCATTACGTACGTAATAGCTGACAGGTCATGAAGCTGGTATCTTATTGTTACAGGATGCATGGCTCGTACTAGGTCGACCAGATGGCTGGCACAAAAACAGGTATGTCACTTAAATGTCGATATTCGTAAATTGAAGTGCACGCCGTCAACGAATCGAAAATAAGAATGTAGGGCAGTAGTGTGATCACTTTGCGTTGTAGCAACCATCTCGTTCTGCAAGAATGCCTTGCATGATTGACATTGATCGTAAAGGTTACCGCAGTGCAGGTTGATCCGATGTTGATTCATTCTGCATCCGACCCAAGACCAAGAACAGCGCTGTGTGAAGACTATTTTTACAATTACTACAACCGTGGTCTTGATATACTGTTTGACGGTCAGGTACATCTGAAGATACGAATGTGTTCTTTTAGTATGTTCTGGTCGACTCTCTTCAAAGCTTCGATCATACAGTGGCAGAATGTCATACACTAATTATCATGTTTTCATATGAAGGCTAAATTGAATACATTTCTCTACTCTTTTTATTTTCAAGTGATTTCCTTTTCAATATTATAATCTATTTCTAGATTTGTTATATTTCTGTTGAATTTACCATGCAGATTGGATGAAGTTGGTGGAAACATTGCTTCATTGAAGATTATGTATATTACATGTGAACCTTGAAAGATGCATCTGCATACACTTTTGACTTGTAATTTTTTACATATCATTTTTTTGATCAAGATGATGCTAGGAAAGTTAGAGTCACAATGATAAAGTGTACTAATTTGTAAGATTTTCTCAGTTCACATTGTAAATCACAAACAACATCTTGTTTATGAATACTAAATGATCTATTTGGAGTATGAAATTAAGTATGATACACTTGGACAACAGAAACTATTACTTTATTTGACAAAGAGATATTGACGTTGAGATGTTATCATCCCATATATTGCAATTGATCTTCATGTTTTACAAAACTTCAAAAAAAATTTGTTAATCATATCATATTGACAACCTTTCTAGTGTTCATGATGATATTCGGACAATAGATGGTGCTCAAATGATGTGATTAGCAACGAGGTCAACCATGAAGACTACCTTGATATCATAAAATACATTGATTTTTAATACCAAGAGAAATATCTTATGTTTGGCTGGACCATCAATATATATGTGTCAACCTGAAAAAGTGTTTGTGTTTCTATTGCATAATACCCTAAACTCAACCTGATTTTCATTACAAATGACCTTGTAAGCTCTTCACATCCTAAATCAAGCAGGAATTTTTAACTTAGTGGCAACTGCATTAAAAAAGTTTGACACACGTTTTCAACTTTTCATAATGTATACGGTAGGATGCAGCTTGAATGCTTTTCCACTAATAGGTAAATTTACGATAGCATGACATATATTTATATAAATCCTTGTGATGTCTTGTGTTAGTCCGCTTGAACTGCAACTGATACCACTGACTCCCCCGCCTACAATGACCGAGAGTGAGTCAGAGTAACTTCATAGTACTTTTAGCAAGCAGTCAGTCTTGAAATCCTCTTCTATTTAGCGGGTTAGGATTTTTACTTTTTGCTATGGTGCATCTCTCATGGTGTTACTTCCAGCAATGGTTCGAGAAATTTCCTGCAAGTCCACTTTCGGCTCATGTATAGTCGATAGGAGTGCGCATGAGCTTTCTCATAAGCTTGGGCTTATGAGAAGCTGATGATCGGGGCCATTCAGGGGATGCCTATGTCGTAATTTAGACAAGGATTCATAAAACAACTAATGAAATCCTTCTTCATGAATGAGGGTGTGATCTCAGAACTGCAGACTGTCATCACGATACTCGGTTGAGTGCACTCACGTCAATCAGGAAGTGCAGCAATATACGGAATAGAATTGAGTAAATGTGAATTAGCAGAGAACGAAAGTTGTGTACATGGCATTAAGAACTACT